TTGCTCCCTCGTCAATTCCTCCACCACCGTCACTGTGAAGGCGACAGGGAGTTGCGCAGGACTTAGGGCCATTTCTTTTCAACTTTCTTTCCATAGTTGCTTTGACCAAGGCATCATCGCCTGGTGGTCAGCCTTCTGGCGATCCTGGCGTTCTCTTCGTCCCCTGAGGGCTCGTCGGCTCAATGGCTCACCACAGCAGGGGCACTTTGGCAAGGATTTAGTCGTTTGGAGGTTCATTGGTGTGTGTTAAGTGCCACTACCTCCTCTCTAAGCGTTGCCACTTCCCGGCCACGATGAGGCACCTTGCCTTCGGGAAGGTGCCGCTGATAAAATGTTTAATTTTGATGCATTATTGAAGAAGCCATCTCCGCGCAACAGTTGTGTCTTGGAATACTGAGAAAAGAGTCTGATCGAAAGAGCTGTGAAAATCGGGGTTTTTAGAACTGAATGTCATCTTCATGTGAGGGAACAGGTGTATGCGTTTTGTTTTTAGGCAAAAATCGCGAAAGAAGGATCTGTTCGTTGATTGTAGGGGTCGCGCAGCCTGTTGCTGTTGTTCTACTACGATGGTTGAGATAAAAACAAGTACTTGTTGGTCTCTATCATCGTTTTTGCACAGTCTCATCATTTCAGGATTGGTGGAAAGTGGAAGTTAATGATCGCCAGGGATTTGTTCCTGCAGCATATGTAAAAAAAGTTGAAGCAGGTGCTGCGCAAAAGTCTGCAACACAACAGGTAATGCACTTCACCTTAGGCCTTTTTTTTTGCTTATTTCAGTCCCCTAATACCTTAAAGTTCCAGTAGTGTTGTCTCACCTTGCATGGTCAACTGTCGTTTGGAGGTCGTCGCTTATTGCTAAGTGTAAAGTAGCAGTTCTTGGCATGCTTTATAGCTTCATTTTACCACTTTCTGGCAATCTAATATTAATCCTTCCAAAGCAGTTATAGCAGAATAAAATGTCAGACTGTAACTTCTCGACATGTATATCCCTCCTTTCCTTCTTCATCTTCCTTCGCTAATCAACATGTTCATTTTAACATGGCGGAATGGGACATTGTACTGATGATTCTCACCACATTCGCACCGATTCTGCCATCTGTGTTTACAGCTCAGGGATGAAAAACAGATAAGCTACCAAGTAATTCTGCACGTACAGGCTTGCTTATTTGGAAGTGTTGGGCGAGCCTCGCCTGGCCCTGGCGAGTCGCGCCCTGACGAAGCACACACTGAGGACATTACTAAAATTTATTGGCACCGACGAGCCAACCGGGGAATGTAAAAAAAACCAAACAATGAATCAATCCCTGATCGCGCACATTTATATACAGAATTTTAGCGCATAAATCAAGCATGATCACAGGGCATCGACGTTCACGAAAATCCGTGCCGAATCCGCGCGCTTTTGGATACCCCGCTTTGCCCAACAGAAGATCTAAATGCCATTTCCAGTGTTTTCATTAATTGTCAAAATTTGATTGTGTTCCTCTCTATGGTGAGCCAATAACGCCAAACAAATTGCATATTTTAACAATAGAAGGTTTCAGGCTCCTGTTCTCTTCCAATCTCCTTGCCAGGAATATTCACTGTTTGTATCTTTAAAATTTCCACAGCACAATTTATATCTGTTAGCCGGTTTTGGCCCGTATCAAGTCTGTTGTTGCTCATCGTCACCGTGGGATTTTTTCGAGTCACGATAAGGGTGGAATGATCAATCAATGTTTTTTAAACAGAATATGCAATTTAGGTGCCGTCGTCAATTGGAGCGAAGCAGCACGAGATTGAGGATCAGTACCAGAAGCTTGTTATGCTGGGTGATACGAGAAGACGGAAACTTGAAGAAGCATGTAAGGGTTATCAGTTACTCCGTGAAGCGAATGATTTGGCAGAATGGATACGATCAAGGGTTGGTTTCTTCATAATTTTTTTCTTTTTTTTTTTTAAATTACAGGCCTAGGCTAGTCCGTAAATGTAAAGAGTTTCCTTAAGACGTATGTTTCTACAGAATTGCAATTTCAATAAGATTCTCAAAACTAGTGTTGATTCATATGGACTTTTGATCAATCTTTACTAACTGTTATAAAAGATGGTCTGAATTGGTTCGTAATTTCTGAGCGATACTTGGGCGCCAGACCATCCGATTCATCACTGATAATGAATGGATTTGCAGGAAGCAGTTGCAGCGCAACAAGAAATAGGCAGCGATTTGGAGCAGGTGGAGGTGCTGCAGAAGAAATTCGACGATTTCAAGGGTGATCTGAAAGCAAATGAAATTCGCCTACAGGAAATGAATCAAATTGCCACGGCACTCACATCGGTCGGCCAAACTGAAACTGCCGTTCGGATTCGACAGCAAATCGAGGTACTTACTTTGACACTTTGATCGACTGTAGCAGCAGCAGCGTCGAAGCAACTGGCAGCCTTTGTTCAGTAGAAGCTATATCAGCTACTCGGCCACGAATTGACCTCGGCATCTGTTTCTCTGTATCTTTTTCCGGAAAAAAAAATGCAGAGTATTTTACATGCCCCTTCGCCTGTTTGAATTTCCGCTTTATTCGAACGCGATATTCGAGAAAAAATTTGGATTATGAATCATTCATGTAGAAATTTTTGAGATTATTAAACTCTATTTATAGTGATATCCGAGGTTAAAATTGAGGGCTGTCACGTGGTCTCGGACGTTTTAATTAAAACTTTTTTGGATTTAGTGGTGATTTTTTTTTTTAAACCACTGTCTGCTTTTCAAGCAGCAAATCATGAATTTCCAGGATTTGAACGCGAGATGGCGCGCTTTGGAAGAGCAAACGGAGCAGCGTGAGCAGCAGCTCGGCTCGGCACATGAAGTACAGCGATTCCACCGTGACGTGGACGAAACCAAAGACTGGATCATGGAGAAAGATGAAGCACTGGATTCCGAAGATTTCGGCCGTGATTTACGATCCGTTCAAGCGTTGCAGAGAAAGCATGAAGGCGTTGAACGCGATCTTGCTGCGCTTGGCGACAAGGTTGGCCAGTATCGCTGGTTTTTTGTCTGAGCGTTACTTCTGCGATTTCTAGAGCAGAAATTTGATCGTTCGGCCTTCGCTTTTATGCCCTATCCACCGTTTTCCTGTCTCTGGTGCTTTTTCCTACCTCTTTTCACCGTATTTTCCAAATATTGTGTTTCATGAGCATTAGCCGAGAAAGAGCTCGCCTGCTGACCTTCTATGTCATTAGTTTTGTTTTTTGGACAAGCCTGGCGGTGAAGCAGAATTATTGACAATATTTGCTACGAAGACGTTACGATGATGTTACGACGAGCTTCGGTCGAGATTTGGGTGAAGGCGCTTGGTGGAGGGAGACTGGAGTAAACAAACGAACTTTATCAACACGGATACAAGTTTACAAGTGAGTTATTGGGGCGACGGGATCGAGTCGGACGATTGCAGCGACAGCCACTCAGGCGAAGAGTGCTGATAACTGGAATGCAGCAACACACTGCCGCAATGGGCCACTGGACGCCAAACACGGGGCGCGGAATACACTGAACGCCGACGATGAACACTGAATACACTGAATTGTACAACAAATTTGGAGGCTTAAATACTCATTACAAAGGGTGGACAGATCACAGGTCAATTTGCTGCGCGTTTCTGAATTGCTGTTTGCTTCTCCTGCTCCCCATCTTTTGCTCGCTCTATACCTTGCTAGATAAATTTGAATATTTTGTGATTATGGAAAATATTGTAACAAAAGGTAGTAATTAAAAATAAAAATAAAAACTGAATTGGAATGTTTAGGTCCTTTAAGTTGCATACATTCTCATTCAGTGCTGCAACTGAACCTCATCAGTGTGACGGTCGCAGCAGAAGTATTGAAAAATAACCTGT